TCAGCTTTCCGAAGCAGGAAGAAAGTAAATGGCCATGTGCACAACATGGTTTTTCTCTTTCACATGAGGTGTTTTCTAGGCTGGAAGCCTTCAGGGTAGGGCTCTGATTCATTGTCTCTTAAAGCACCTACCAAACTCTGGCTGCTCTGACGTCTGGCCTCTTCCCTATAGAATTATTCTGTATAAATATTATGGGAAGAAAAGGAGCCAGAGTGAACTACCAGAACCAATAGACTTAAAGTAAAATTGAATCAGGAATCAAGGAATTTTAGGACCTTCATGTATGGATGTTTAAGGCCATCACATATTGATGTTCCAGACAGCTGTCCTATAGGTGTTGAGCTGCAGTGCAAGGGAAAGACCTGTTTGAGAAACTCCAGTTTCTCAAACTACACTCATCAAAATTTTTCATAACTGTCTAGAAGTGCTTCTGCTCTTTCCTTCTGGCGTAGTTGGCAACTGAAGAATGGTTTGCCATACCTGACCTCATGAAAACAGATGTTTTCAGTGGCTAAGTGACTGCCTCACAGGTGCTTGAACAACTGCAGGCACTTTCCTGTAAAAACCCTTTTATTTCCCCTTGCTTTGGAGAGGCTGTGCCTAAAACTCTAAGGGCTGCAGCTGGATGGTTGCTCTATGCGTTTTGGGACTTTGCATCACCCAGTCTAGCCTGAGCCTTTGGCATCACTTTGGCAGCACAGGATTTGGTTCGGCGGGGTTGGGGTTAATGGAACCAGCAGAGACACCAAGCCCCTCCGAACAGCTTGTGCCAAGACTTTGCCGTGTGGGGAGATGTTGCACTGGGACTTAGAGGACTGTTGCTTCTGTGGAAGCAGCTCCCAAAAGGAGCTGAAAATCTACACAGCAGCCTTTTCAAGTGCCTGTGTTACTTTGAGATGTAGCTACCTGAAATAACCTCCCACAATGTGATAAGGCTGACATGGGAACAGCCTTTTGGCTTCAGACAGAACAAGGAGGGCACCTCGGGTGAGTATTCTTTGGCTTAAGTTCACTGTAGTGATGGTTTGGATTGCGTTTCTAGCGTGCTCAGATGAGCTGAATGGGTTTGAACGCTGGTGCGTGTAGGAATGAGGTGAACAGGCCTGGAGCAAAAAAGCAGCCTCGTTCTGAACACGGGTGACTTTCTTTGAATCTAGCTGTATGGATTCTCTAAGGCGTATTGTTTAAACTACTGTCTGCAAGCTTTGCACAAGGTGTCCTCTCAGGTTTTGGAGGACCTTAGGGAAATAACTACTATTCTGCTAAATGCTAGCTATTTTGGGTTCGTATTGAGACACAAAATATCCTGCTGTGGATAGTCCAGAGTGCCCACCTGCATGGCCTCAGCCTAGCTGGGTTCTTGGCTGTGTTCTAGCAGTCCCTGCCTGCCGAAGGGGGACGAGTGGCCCTGGGCGCACAGGACGGCTCCGCTTTCTTGCGCGCAGCACTTCAGTGACGCTACTAAAACTGCAGGCAAACCTACTAAAGCTGTCAGGGAGAGGACTCTAGGTCTGGAGTGGGACGAGAGGAGGAATTGTATGTTGGAGAAGGGCAAGGCAAGCAGCCCTAGGAAAATGGGGGACAAGAAGCAGAGGAATTAAAGCAGGATGACTACCTCAGTTTGGGGAGGTCTGTGGTAGGCACTTAGTTTGCCTAGTTCATGTCAATGCCTAAATAGAAGGAGGGCTGGACACCTCAACTCTGCCCTGGCTGCCGTATCCATTCCTTTCTTTGTAAAGCCTTGTAAAAGCTGTCTTCTCCCCATTCAGCAGCAGGGACTTTGACACCTTCCCTTGAAATGTCTTTGCTATCTCCTGCCTTGATCTATTTCTAGCAAGCGGTTGTTTTGAAACCTGGCATGTCTTTCTAGCATGGCAAATTGCCTGCTTGCTCTGAACAGCTAAAACTGGAGGGGGATCTAATTCTCCCTGAAAAAGCAGTAAGCATTTTGCTCAGAGACAGACTACCCTAATTGTGTTCCAAAGCTTTTAAGTCTGGAAGGCTAACAATAAAACTGCAAATAGCATGGGAACAAAACAGCATCGTGGGGAGGGGGTTATGTTTATAAAGCAGAGCAGAATTCCAGCAGACCTGAACGGTTGATGTGGTAGATTTATTTAATAAAAAAAAAAGTACTTTCAGTGTTTGCATCTGCACTTAAACCTCTAACCATTCAAAGGCTTTGAGTAGCTGATTCCCTAGTATGTTTCTTTTTATGGCTGTCTGCACCTCATATCAAGCTGGCCAGAGCATTAATCCATTAAGTTTGGAGCTAAGCTTCTCTGTCCCTGTTCTGCTGAGGGAAAGCACCCGTGTGTGTAGTCTTGTGCATGAAGAAAATTTCCTTTAAAAGTATGGAGGAATTAATTGCGCCCCCAGATGGGGTAGGGTGAGGTGCCACTGTGCAGTTCTAGACCAGGCTAGCGCCAGGAACACCGGAGCCCGCTCTGAGCAGGGATCGCTGCCTTGCCCTAATAAGGAGCCAAACTGCACTTCAGTCTTGGTATATAGTGCTCAGTACCTGACCTGCTTTCACTCTAATCAACTCCTTTTTCCTTCCCCCTCTATTTCACTTCTGTATCCTGACTGTAACACTTCATCTAGAGTTAATAGTCTGCCTGGAGAAAGAGTCATAATTGAGGCATGTGATGAATAATCCTTGTCTTCAGGAAAGGTTGCTTCCTCTTCAGAGGAGGCAGTGAGACAGCACCCAGCCAAACGTGCTTTGGAAGTGCCTCTTGTCTTGTGCTGTGTTGATTCTCTTTGGTGCAGCAGCCTTGAGAAATATGATGAAGCTTATGGTGACAGGAGGCAAAAAAAAACGAACAGGGCATGGGTTTTTTCTAACCGGAGTGCAGAACTGCACTTTCTTTTCTCAAGCATTCTGGGCTCCAAAACAATCTGCACCGATACTCCTGCAGTCTGGCAGCCTGCTTTGTTTTGGTTGTTGCTTCCTATGCAGTGTTCTCACATGTACTGTACTGCTCTCAGGAAATCTCTGCCTCTCCTCCTTCTGCCAATGTTTTGTTCCTTTATCCTAACCGATGTTCCAACAGCTGGACTTGCCTGTAGACTTCCAAGTGCGCTGTAGCCAGCACCTTGTTGACAGCCTCTGTCCATGTGCCACAGGCCTTGGGAATGCCAGGTGGTTCATCTGGTGCTCGCTGCAGAAGGACACATGATTCAGATCTTCCGATCTCAGCCTGATGGTCTCTCTCCCAGCCTGAGCAGATGACTTGCACTGAAACCAAGTTGATGTCAGCCTCAGTTGCCAAAACTGAGCGCTTGAGTACACACAGGCATAAAGGCTTGAAAATGGGACAGTGGGGAGGATTGAGAGGAACTGCTGTTAAACCCTTGAATAGCTGCTTGCAGTACATGTGCTGAGTTGAAAAAGGCAGATCAAGCCACTTCCTAGACGGGTTTGTAGGAGTTGTTGCTATGTTGTGGTAATGTCTGTAGGAAACAACCACTATAGTGTATGTGAGTGTCAGTTCATGTCAGTGTCAGCTTGCTTTTTTGGTCCCTTCAGTGTGAGATGCTGCTCTTCCTTAGGCTCACAGAGGAAGGGAGGCTGTCCTTGGAGTGGTTGGGAGTGCCTGTGTGTCATGGAAATGCTTGGGCCCAAGCACCTGTGCTAGGTGTTGTCTGCCCCCCTAGCTGTGGGGCAGAACAGACACATCTGTGTTGTGGGGGGTGATGTGCTCCCTTAGTGTCAAGGTCTGGATTTGGAAGGCAAAATAGACCCTTAAATTTTCATGCTTAGAAGTTAGAAGAAGTATTAATATCATCTCTGGAGTGAATTGGAAAGAACCCCCCGAGGGGCTGAATAAGGACGTCTTAAAGAGGTGCTGGCATTTGGTGACTGTGCCATCGCTGTTAATTTGTTTTGCAGTTAGTTACTTGCTTATTCTCAGCTGTCTGGCTTGCGTTCTTCAGGACTTGTTTGGATGTTGTGGATGGTGCTAACTGGATGGCCCTACAGGGTTTCTCCATTTTTGCCATCTTATCAACTGCTAATGTGGTAACTGGGTCTGATCTAAGTGGGAGTTGTTTGATGAACTGCTTTCTGTCCCTCAGTGCCATACATCTGAGGTCATTGGATGAGCCATACTGCTGCTATTTGAAATAGCTATGTTGCTGCTTAGTGATGTGCCTTTTAAAGAACTTCAAGGTGATTTTCCTCTCCACACTTGACAAAAAAGAAGTGGGGAAGGGAAGGAAGAAAGTAGTTTTCGGGGGGGTTCTTTAAGAACTACCTGATTTGAGCTGTTTCGACTGTGTCCTCTGGGCTGCTAGTCAAACGCTGTAGAGAAGCTGGTGAATTGATCCCTAATCCAGAACATACACAATCTTTCCCTGTCTCCTTCTAGCTGAAGTTTTGCTGCTTATGTCCGGTAACCTTATTTTTAAACCAGATCTGATTCATGCTCTATTTTCCATGCCAGATGAGGTCCTGGTTGTGAGTAAGTGTTGTGACTGTAGCTGGCAGGAGCCCTGAGTGATTGCCTCACTCCAGGAAATGTTAAAATAACACTTTTTTTCTTAGAAAGCTAGTTCCCTCCCCTCCCACTTTTAATTCTTCTAATAGCTGCCCCCAGTTTGGCGGCTGTCATACAGAGGGTTGTTTGTGTTGCTGAGTGAGAGCAGAGCTGTTTGGGTGGATGTGGTCCTGGGGGGAAAAGGTATGCAAAGTGAGCCAGTCTCTCTAGGCTAACTGGCTTAAACTTTTTTTTTTGAGGTTTCTCTGAGATTTGGAAGGAAAACTGCTCAACTGTGAGAAGAATCTTGCTCCTCCCCTTCGGCTCTGCATCTTAAGCTGGGATTTTTTTCCTCCTCTTGGAGAAGAGGAGCTGCCCCAACTGATGCCGCTCACTTGAGAGCAGTTAAAGTACGGCTTGTCTCTAAACTAGTGAATAGTGGGACCAGCACTGTTGAGGGCTGCTGCATGGCAGTGCAGCCCTTAGGACTGGGCACAGTGGATTTTGTCTGCTGCTTCGGACTTGCACAGTCAGGTCTCCGAGGTACTTTGCAAAGCTGGAGTGGGGTTGAAGGGAATTATTTCCTCAGACCAGTATCAGTGGCTGCTAGCTGTTTTGCTGCCTGATCCGTGGAAGGTTTGTAACTCTCCAGATGGAGGAGTGTTGTTGCCTGGTTCCTGCCTTGTTTGACGACTGCTATTGGGTGATTGTTTTGAATGCTTTTTTTTTTTTGAGCCGCTTAAGCATTGAGGGAAGAAAAAGCTATGTATGGATGGATGACAGCACGAGGCAATCCCTCTGTGTGTATGTTTGCAATATGTAATGTTTACTCTAAGGGATGCTTGCATTCTGGAGGTTCCCTAAGAACTCTGCTTTGCAACTGTCAGCCAAAAAAGGAAGTCTGGAATTTAGTCATCTTCATCTAGTCTCTGTGTGAGATCTGAGAGCACTGCAAAGGAAGCACTTGCCGGAGTACTGGCTAGAAGAACACCAGGTGGTGAACCGGTGCGCTGCTGTTGCATGAATGAGCTGTTCTGGCCCCTGGAAAAATGTCGGTACTAGGCTTTTGCAGTGCCTGTTCTCGTTGCCAGCCTGTGGTGATCCTCTCGAGCTGGAACACAAATGCATCCCTCCTGAAATGAAGCCTGCTTTCCATTCCCTATAGGGAAAGCTGCTCTTACTGAATGGTATCCTTCAAAAGGCTAGTTCCGACATCTCTACAGCAGAAGAAAATTGACTGGAGTTGTTTGGAACTTTTTCTTTGAGTATTAGATACTTTGTGTTTTGACCCCTTTGTGGGGAGCTGTAGAGATGGCTTCGGCGTATCCAACTGGAAAGGAACTCCAAGGTGGGTGGAAGGAGCTGGTATAGTACATGCCAGCAGGCAGCCAGGGCCCTCACTGGGCTGTCTTGCTCAGCTTGGCCTGTGGGTATGAACTAGAGCTGGGAGACTAGGCAAAACTATATTTATAAAAGACATTGTTTTCAGCCTTCCTACCTACTGAAGACCATCAGGAGGGATGTAAGTCTCTAGCATTACTGTGCCTCGGGCTCCAGGTCTTCTGTGTGGAAAACTTAAGGGAAGGGTTTCTTCTAGCCTGGACAGCACATGGGTCACCATGATGTGAAACTAAGGGTAGCTGGAGGCAGCCTGATTACCTGAGGCTTAATGGTGCAGTAATAAGTCATAAGGAGCAGTGTGCTCCCTGCAAAGGGAAGATGAGCTCTGGTGGCTCTGCGTCCGCGCCCCCCTTAAGCAGAGGAGCAGAAATTCAAGCACCTTTCTGAAGAGGATATTGGAGACTTAGCATATGGATCAAACAGATAGAATTTTAGAGAGTATAGCGCTTTCTGCTGTGCGTGGTGTACTGCGTAAATGGTATGCATTACCCTTGCTCCCTCACGGACAAGAAGGGGGAGCTGGCAGGCTAAACGGAGCAAGTGTTCTGTAAATGTTGCCTACAAGGCTGTATGTGCTAATGTTTAACTCTCTTGTTTTTCTTTCCATCCATTAGGCAATACTGACCAGTGCACATCTTGACAAGGTCTCCTAGCAACCTTTTCTGCAGGGCTGAATGACAGCAGGAGCAGCAGGGTAAATTGATGAGCTTGCCTGGGGAGCCTATAAATAGGCAAAATCGGAACACACAATGGGTCAGAAGGTCACAGGTGGGATAAAGACTGTGGATATGAGGGACCCTGTATACAGGCCACTGAAGCAGGAGCTCCAGGGACTCGACTACAGCAAACCCACACGTTTGGACTTGCTACTGGACATGCCTCCGGTATCCTATGAAGTCCAGCTATTGCATTCATGGAACAACGATGACCGCTCGCTGAATGTCTTTGTGAAAGAGGATGACAAACTCATATTTCACCGGCATCCGGTGGCTCAGAGCACAGACGCCATCAGAGGCAAAGTGGGATATACACGAGGACTGCACGTGTGGCAGATCACGTGGGCGATGAGGCAGCGAGGCACGCATGCTGTGGTAGGGGTGGCAACAGCAGATGCCCCTTTGCATTCTGTAGGTTATACCACACTTGTGGGAAATAACCACGAATCTTGGGGGTGGGACCTTGGGCGCAACCGACTGTACCACGATGGGAAGAACCAGCCCAGTAAAACCTACCCTGCCTTCTTAGAACCAGATGAAACTTTCATTGTGCCGGACTCCTTCCTCGTTGTTCTGGACATGGACGATGGGACACTGAGCTTCATTGTAGATGGGCAATACATGGGTGTTGCGTTTCGGGGACTCAAAGGGAAAAAGCTATATCCAGTGGTAAGCGCAGTGTGGGGGCACTGTGAAATACGGATGCGCTACTTGAATGGACTTGACCGTGAGTATAACTCCCTGTATTTTTTTCAAATAGCACAGATCTGTGGGCTACTTAGGTGCAGGGTCACCACCCCCCCACCCCCCCAGGAGGGCTTTTAGAGGGTGAGGTTTTTGTGTCTGCCTTGGGGCTAGCTACATCTATGAATCCTTAAGGGCTGATTCAAAGGAGCTGGGAACACGTGTTGTTACCATGGCACTGCAGGGAGCAAGCAGGGCATGGAAAGATAGTATGGCAGGGGAAGATGTTATTGGCTACTTGCTGGCTATCTATCTGGATAGCTGACAAGCTTTTGTTTCTGTATTGCTACTAAAATCTCAGCAGGGATGTCCTTTTGAAGGTTGCATTGTTTGCAGTGTAATCCTGGTGCTTCTCTACAGGGAGCAGTCCCTGAGGCGCACTCACTTTCCTTAGATGCCTGATGAAGGGACTCCTAAAATCCCCTGCAGGCAAGAACGGGAAGACTTGTTGCTGTCTGGTCAAATGGGAACATCACATCGTTCAAGAAAGTAGCTTATTCTCTTGCTGCTTTCAGGGCAGGAAGTGCTGATTTCTACTGTGGGGCTGAGTATTGTAGCCAGCACAGTTTGTGCCAGGTCTTCTAAGAGGGACATCAATTCCTAGCTAAGCTTAGTAATAGGTTTGGCTGTCCAAATGTGCAGAAAAGTCTGTTCTCTCTCGTAGTCAGAGGTTCCCATTGGGCCTGCCTGACTCAGTCATATGGGTGGGGCGGAGGAAGAGGTGAAGGAAGTGGATTAAAATTTGAATTTATGTTGTTACTGAAATACATTTGGCAGAGTTGTTATGAAAAGGGTAGTGTGCTTCCCCTGCATTCCAGAGCAGTGTCTGCTCAAAGGCTGTAGCATACTGGATTCCTTTATTTGTGAGCAGAATGTGTTTATTCTAATGCTGGGCCAGCAACGGCAAACTCCTGGCACTGGTGACATGAGGTACAGTAAAGCTGGCACTAGGCACCAAAATTCAGCTAGGACAAACTTTCTTTTTAAGAACTCTCACAGAATAACCCGAAAAGCCTTGCTAAGGGGTTAAGAGCTAAATCCACAAATGCTTCGAGAATTATGCTTCAACTCGGCAAGACCAAGCGGAGGTACCCTAGATCCACAGACCTGCAGGCTGAAAGCAGTGCATGTTGTTCAGAGACCAAAGGAAAAGGCACCAGATAGCATCTCATGCTGCTTAAACACCTCTGTTAAACTCCTAGTTCTCCTTAACCACTGGGGTTATAGGCATAATCTCCTGACGATACTTCAGGAGGAAGGTACTTTAAGTTAGGTAAGTCCTATTTGGTTGTGTTGAAGTAAGTGAACATCTGCATGCAACAGGGTATTCCCAGGGCACTGGTAAAGCTTGGACCAAGCTGGATCCAAGTGGAAGTCTGCACAGTTTAGTCTTTTGCAGTTTGGCTTGTCAGACGTGAGGAATAAGATCTGAACGGTTCTGCTGTGTTTCTTGGCTCTCCAGCTGTTGAGTCTCAAAACTGGTTAAAAACCAGGGTGATGGGACACAAGTCTTGAATATTCAGCTTATTCTGTCATGGAGTATCTAATGCCTAAATTCTATAAGAAGCAACTGACTTAAGTCCTTATGTTTATCTGTTGAGATGCTCTATCGTGGCTGCTGTCTCCATCACGAGCCACAACATAACTGATCTCTTCCAAGGAAGATTTAGCTCTGGAGGAATTCTTGAGTTTGGTGCTGTCCCTCAAGTAGGGGTATTGTTCAGCTGGTTTTTGCTACTATTTTCTGTTTGCAGGACTGGAGTGATTAGGTGGAAAGGTCTTTCCAGTGTCTACAGTGGATGTTAAGTACTTAAGTGCGTGTTAAGTTAAGACACCATCTCTTAGTGCTCAGCATAGGTGTCTGCCTCCCACAAATTACTTTATTCTTTTTTTCCTGCAGCCAACCCTGTTCCTATCAGCTTTTAGCAGATGAGCTCAGAGCAGGAATAGCGGAACAGCCCTGGAGAATCGGATTCTTGAATTGAGAGCCCTTGGCAAAACGCTTGCTCACACCAGCAGGAAGGAGCCCAGCTCGTTCTGCCACACAATGGCTGAAGGAACGGCAGGAGCTGCAGTAACCAGGCTTTGCAAGGGTCAAAAGCCAAAACCTGCAGCTCCCCTCAGAGCCAGCAAGTCTGTGGAGTTGTCGGCACAGAACTGCACTTAGCAAGGAAACAGCCACCTCCTGTATTGGATTTGGTTGTAATGTGCTCTCAGCATAGAAGCGAATCATGGGCATGAGGCCAGGAATGACAGGATGCTATTTTGGCACAGATAGAAAGAAGGTGTCTGGCTCTAACCACTTCTGAGTGTTCAATAGCCGCACTGTGTCCAGTGATTGTAGTGCTAGTGAATGAAAGGAGGTCAGACACATGCGTGCTTGCTTTCTTGGTCTATCTTTTGTCAGACTGGGTTATCAGTGCAAACTAGATGAGGATCAAGTTCTTCATCTCTTTGGGAAGAAGATCCTCTTTTTAAGGCCATTAAACTGGAATGTGTGTGTTATGCTAATGCTTATAGGCCTTGAAGGTCAGGGCCCCTTGTCCTGGGTGTTGGCTAGACAAGGACTGTGCGCTTCAGCACAGTGACTGTATTGAAGCAATCTTTACGTGGAGCAGGAGGAGATGGGACAGACCTAGACGCCAGCGTATTTGTGCCCCAGCAGTTTAAGAATAAGCTACACTGGAAAGTACCAAAGGAGTGCTGCCAATAATGGATTCTTCTGGCAGTGTTGCAGCCAGAGCCGAGATGTGCAGCGCTGCTGTACGGAGACCCATCCCTGCAGAAGAGGCAGTGTGGGTCTTGGAGTAGGTCATTAGCAGGCAAGACCTGCAGTGCTTTGGGCTGGGTGCAGCTATGCTCTGCCTGAAGGTGCTGAGCAGCTGTGGGGCTGTTGTCACTTCATGAGGCGGAGCAGATGTGACTAATGGTGGGGCTGGGGATGAAGCAGCGCTGCCCTGATGGATCTATTTGCTGATTGATGTCCACCCAGCTATCACTGCTGAAGGGATGTGCAGAGAGGAATAACACCTTGAATAATTAATGGTTGAAGCACTGGGAGAACTGCTAGAAAAAGCACTGTACTGCAGCTTCCCCTGCAGCAGCTAACAGTCTGTGATCTGTAATGGGGGACACAGGGCATTAGTTGAGCTCTTTGGCTGCGAACTTGAGGGGGAGACAGCCCAATTCAAGAGCGTGATTCCTGACTTCACTACCACGTTCCTCCTCAGTTAGCAGACCCCTCACAAACTTTTTGCTGAAAAAGGGATTAAAAACTAGCTGTCTGCTTTTTCACTGGAAATGTTCTCTACATGGAGCAGTCTGAGTATTTTCATTTTCCAGAGTAGAATCGGGATGTGGCCTGATTGGAGGCTACTGACAACACTTCTGTCTGAGCTTTTCAATGCTCCCTGGTCTATGAACCTGGAAGGAAGGGGTTTTATCCATCTTACTGGTGGAATGAATACTGGTAAGAAATGCAGTAACGTGATCATGTCCAGGAGAATTAAGCTTTCACTGTCTCAGCTGTTCAAAACTGCTGTATGAGGTAAATTAATTTGGCTTGGAGCAGTGGCAGTTAGGAGCAGTTGGCACCTATTAAAGTTCCTGAAAACTGTAGCTTCCCAGGCAAGCATTTCCATTCCTGTGGATGTTTTTTAGGTGTCTCTGGTCTGAGATGTCTCTAAAGGAAATTTTTAAATGGTGCATGCCAAGTACTCAGGTATTAAAGGTTGTCTAGTGATCTCCTTAATTCAGGATGCCTTTGTGTTTAGCTGTGTCCTGGGCGAGTGGGACCCTTCAGCCTTGAGCAATGTGCTGTGCGTAGGTGAGCCTGGGCAGCTTCAGGAACAGAAGCTGCGG